CACCAGGCTGGAGTGCAATGGCGCGATCTCGGCTCACTGCATCCTCCACCTCCCAGGTTCAAGCAATTCTCCTGTCTCAGCCTCCCGAGTAGCTGGGACTACAGGTACACGCCACCACACCCAGCTAATTTTTATGTTTTTATTAGAGGCAGGGTTTCACCATGTCGGCCTCCAGGATGGTCTAGATCTCTTGACCTCATGATCTGCCCGCCTCGGCCTCCCGAAGTGCTGGGATTACAGGCGTGAGCCACCGAGTCTGGCAAGATTTGCCCATTTAAAGTGCACAGCTGAATGGTCTTCAGTATAAAGAGTTGTGCAAACATCACCACAATCTAATTTTAGAACATTTCATCACTTCAGGAAGGCATTTTATGCCCATTTAAAGTCACTCTCCTTCCTTCCTCCAGCCCCTGGCGCCCCCAGTCTACTTTTTGTCTCTATGGATTTGCCTTTTACAGACATTGCATCTAAATGGAATTATACAATATGTGGTCTTTAGAGATTTCTTTCCACTTTGCCTAATGTTTTGAGGTTCATCCATGTTGTAGCATGTATCAGTACTCCATTTTTTTTTTTTTTTTTTTTTTTTTTTGAGACAGAGTCTCTCTCTGTCTCCCAGGCTTAAGTGCAAATGGTGAGATCTCAGCTTACTGCAACCTCTACCTCCTGGCTCAGACGACTCTCCTGCCTCACCCTCCCAAGTAGCGGGTATTATAGCCATGTGGCACCCCGCCCAGCTAATTTGTGTGTTTTTAGTAGAGACTGGGTTTCACCATGTTGGCCAGGCTGGTCTTGAACTCCTGGCCTCAAGTGATCTGTCCACCTTGGCCTTCCAAAGTGCTGGGATTACATGAGTGAGTCACCACGCCCAACCTGAAGCTGGAATTTTAGATCAAAGATCATAGATAGGCCAGGTGCAGTGGCTCATGACTGTAATCCCCACACTTTGGGAGGCCATGGCAGGAAGATTACTTGAGGCCAGGAGTTCAAGACTAGTCTGGGCAACACAGGGAGACCCTGTATCTACAAATTAGCTGGGCATGGTGGCATATGGCTGTGGTTCCAGCTACTTGGGAGCCTGAGAGGTGGGAGGATCACTTGAACCTGGGAGGTTAAGGCTGCAGTGAACCGTGATCACACCACTGAAACCCAGCCTGGGCAACAGAGCAAGACTTCGTCTCCAAATATATATATATGTACATATATATCATACATGCATAGGCCAAAGTCAAAACCAGGGGTGCAAAAGGAAAACAGACCAGAAACCAAGTATCAGGATCAGGATCCAGAAAGGCAGGATTACAGCAGAGACATTAAAACCAGGACCTGGCCAGTGTGGTGGCTTAATGCCTATAATCCCAGCACTTTGGGAGGCCAAGGCGGGTGGATCGCCTTAGGTCAGGAGTTCGTGACCAGCCTGGCCAACATGGTGAAACCTCATCTCTACTAAAAATACAAAAAATTATCTAGACATGGTGGCCAGCACCTGTAATCCCAGCTACTCAGGAGGCTGAGGCAGGAGAATCACTTGAACCCGGGAGGTGGAGATTGCAGTGATGCCGTGAGCTGAGGTCACACCACTGCACTCCAGCCTGGGCAACGCGAGCAAAACTCTGTCAAAAACAAAACAAAACAAAACAAAACAGGAGCATAGTAAAAGTGAGACATTGGAGATGGAAACCAAAGATAACATTGTAACTGGGAGCCTAGCTGATCTTGTAGTTGGATTTAGAGGCAAATTGGGTGATTTTTCCACTGGCTGACCTTTTAAAAGTTCCAGACATGCTCTCCCAAAGGCACTAAGTTCTGTATCCCAGAGAGGTGGGCTCATGGCACGGCCAGTCTCAGAGTTGGTGCTTGTGACAGCTCCTGACACAAGGCACTCCTATCAATGAAGAGTCAAGCAGCACATGTTTGTTGAAGGTCTACTCTGTGCCTCTTGTGGCAACACGTACACTTGGAGACGGAGGCTACTATCAGAATATAAATTTTACTCTCAGGAAGCTGAGAAGACAGCTGGCTTAGAAACTAGCTTAGAACATTTCCAAGTTTGACACAGGGCCAGGGGCTGTCAAGCCTCAACCACAATGCAATCAAGCACCAGCTCTAACCCACAGGCACATGTCCAGCTAGGCTAATTAATGGAAAAGCCAGGATTAAGATTCAAGTTTTTTAGGCTGGGCAACAATGACAACAAAAAATTAGCAGCTTATGGTGGTGCAGGCCTGTAGTCCTAGCTACTCAGGAGGCTGTGTCAGGAGGATCGTTTAGAGGCTGCAGTGAGCTATGATTGCGCTACTCCACTCCAGCCTGGACGGCAGAGCAAGACCCTGTCTCTAAGAAAACCAAAATAAAAATAAAAATAAATAAAATTTAAGTTTTCCAGGCCGGGCATAGTAGCTCACACCTGTAACCCAGCACTTTGGGAGGCCGAGGCGGATAGATCACCTGAGGTCAGGAGTTTGACACCAGCCTGACCAACATGGTGAAACCTGTCTCTACTAAAAATACAAAAATTAGCTGGGTGTAGTGGTGGGCACCTGTAATCTCAGCTACTCAGGAGGCTGAGGCAGGAGAATTGTTTAACCCCGGGAGACAGAAGTTGCACTGAGCTGAGCTCATACCACTGCACTCTAGCCTGGGTAACAGAGCGAGACTCCATCTCTAAAATAGATAGATTGGATGGATGGATAGATAGATAGATAGATAGATAGATAGACAGACAGACAGATAGATAGATGATAGATAGAATTTAAGTTTTTCTACTCAAATGTGGGACTTTTACATTTATATCATAGGAGGCTCAGAGGGACAGTGGAAAGGGAGATGAAAAGGACTGAGGCTTGATTATTTCTTTTTTTTTTTTTTTTTTGGAAACAGTCTCACTCTGTTGCCCAGGCTGGAGTGCAGTGGTGTGATCTTGGCTCACTGCAACATCCACCTCCCGGGTTCCAGAGACTCTCCTGCCTCAGCCTCCTGAGAGGCTGAGACTACAGGTGCACACCACCATGCCTGGCTAATTTTTGTATTTTTTAGTAGAGACGGGGTTCACCATATCGGCCAGGCTGGTCCTGAACTCTTGACCTTGTGATCTGCCCACCTCTTCCTCCCAAAGTTCTGGGATTCCAGGCAAGAGCCACCTCGCATGGCTGGAGGCTTGATTACTTCTATGGAGAAGAAAAAAGAGCAGGGAAGGAGCACTGGTGGGCAAGAGGTTAAAGGAAGAGGAGTCTAAGCAGGAGAAAGGAAGGGGAAGAATCAGAGAACAAAGAAACCCCGACACATCCCTCTCCACAGGGTTCCAAAGACCCAAGCTATGGGCCCTGCCCCTTGCTGGGGAGCTTCATAGTTAGACCAGGGAATTCCCAAGGAGGTGGTACTATGCCCTAAGGGGGTCTTGAAATCTGCAGGGACATTTTTGGCTTTCACAATCAATGGGGAACGCTACCATTAAATGGTCAGAAACCAGGAATGCTAGACATCCTGCAGTATGTGGTTAGGACAGGACTTTCCAATGCCCACATTGGATATTGATGGAGGCCGGATGTGGCGGCTCATGCCTGTAATCCCAACAGTTTGGGAGGTTGAGGCGGGTGGATCACTTGAAGTCAGGAGTTCGAGACCAGCCTGGCCAACATGGTGAAACCCTGTCTCTGCTAAAAATACAAAAATTAGCCAGGTATGATGGCATGCACCTGTAGTCTCAGCTACTCAGGAGACTGAGTCAGGAGAATCTCTTGAACACAGGAGATGAAGGTTCCAGTGAGCTGAGATTGCAGCACTGCACTCCAGCCTGGGCCACAGAGCAAGACTCTGTTTCAGAAAAATATAAATAAATTGGCCTGGCACAGTGACTCAAGCCTCTAATCCCAGCACTTTGGGAGGCTGAGGTGGGTGGATCACCTGAGGTTGGGAGTTCAAGACTAGCCTGACCAACATGGAGAAACCTCATCTCTACTAAAAATACAAAAAATTAGCCTGGTGTGGTGACCTATACCGGTAATCCCAGCTTCTGGGGAGGCTGAGGCAGGAGAATCACTTGAACCCGGGAAGTGGAGGTTGCAGTGAAACAAAATCGCACCACTGCACTCTAGTCTGGGCGACAAAAGCGAAACTCTGTCTCAAAATAAATAAATAAATAAATAAGTTATCTATCATGGCTGTGGTTTTTTGTTGCTGCTGCTGTTTTTTGCTGTTGTTTGACAGAGTCTCACTCTGTTGCCCAGTCTGGAGTGCAGTGGTGCGCTCAGCAATCTTCCCAAGTAGTTGGGATCACTGGTACACACTGCCACACCTGGCTAATATTTTCTTGTGTTTTTTTGTAGAGATGGGATTTCGCCATGTTGCTCAGGCTGGTCTCAAACTCCGGGGCCAAGTGATCCACCTTCCTCGGCCTCCCAAAGTGCAGGGATTACCAGCAGAAGGCGCCGGGCCTCATGTAGGTGTTTATAATGATCTTGGTTGTGATGGTTAATTTTATGTGTCAACTGGACTGGCTTGAGGGATGCCCAGATGGCTGGTAAAACATTAGTTCTGGGTGACTCTGGAAGAGATTAACATTTGACTCGGCAGACCAAGAAAAGAAGATCTGGCTTCAATGAATGTGGTGGGGGGCGGGAGCAGGGAGCATTATCCAATATGTGCAGGGCCCCAAATAAAACAAAAAGGCCAAGGAAGTGAGAATTCTCTCTCTTCTTGAACTAAGACATTCGTCATTCTCCTGCCCTTGGATATCGTAGCTCTTGGTCCTTGGCTCTTAGACCTTTGGCCTTGGACTGGGACTGAATGACACCAGCAGCTTTCCTGATTCTCCAGATTGCAGATAGCATATTGAGTGAGCCAGCTCCCCTAACAAATCTTTTATGTCTCTCTAAATATACCCTGTTGGTTCTATTTCTCTGGAGAACTCTAACTAAATATATCAGTCTAGAACCTAACTCTACTCTGCATACAAGCATTGAATATTGTAGCACATTTTATTTTATTTTATGTCTTTTGAGATGGAGTCTCGCTCTGTCACCCGGGCTGGAGTGTAGTGGGGAAATCTTGGCTCACTGCAACCTCTGCCTCCCAGGTTTAAGTGATTCTCCTGCCTCAACCTCCAGAGTAACTGGGACTATAAGCGTGCTCCACCGTGCCAAGATAATTTTTTATATTTTTAGTAGAGACGGGGTTTCACCATATTGGCCACGCTGATCTTGAACTTTTGACTTTGTGATCCGCCCTCCTCAGCCTCCCAAAATGCTGGGATTACAGGCGTGAGCCACCGCGCCCAGACTTATTTTATTTTATTTGTGTATTTACTTGAAACAGGGTCTCACTCTGTCACCCGGGTTGGAGTGCAGTGGTGCGATCGTGGCTCACTGCAACCTGCAGCTACCAAGCTGAAGTAATCCTCCCCCCTCAGCCCCCTGAGTAGCTGGGACGATAGGCATGTGCCACCACAGCCAGCTAATTTTTTTTTTTTTTTTTTTTGAGACAAAGTCTTGCGTTGTTGCCCGGGCTGGAGTGCAGTGACACAATCTTGGCTCATTGCAACCTCTGCCTCCCAGGTTCAAGTGATTCTCCTGCCTCAGCCCCCCAGGCAGCTGGGATTACAAGCGTGTGCCACCACGCAGGGCTAATTTTTGTATTTTTAGTACAGACACGGTTTCACCATGTTGGCCAGGCTGGTCTCAAACTCCTGACCTCAGGTGATCCTCCCTCCTCAGCCTCCAAAAGTGCTGAGATTATAGGCGTGAGCCACTGCACCTAGCTAGTTTTTGTATTTTTTGTAGAGACGGAGTTTTTGGCCTCCTCCTCCCAAAGGGCCCCCTGCTTCTGCTGGCGTCATGTCTCAGAACTTTGCTATTGTTGGTCTCAGACACCAATTTGGCATCCATTATCCAGCGGCAGTGGATGGTTTGCGTGGAGTTGCTGCTGTCCAGGGCATCACCAAGATTCAAGTCCTCACCGTTGTCCAGCAGGCGGTGGTAGGTGGCGATCTCAACCTCCAGCTTGACCTTGATGTTAGCAGGTCCTTGTACTCCTGGTCCTGGTGCTGCCCCTCTGCTCCGGAGACAGACTTTCACTATGTTGCCCAGGGTGGTCTCAAAATCCTGAGCTCAAGCGATCCACCTGCCTCAACCTCCCAAAGCGCTGGGTGAGCCACCATGCCCAGATGAACTTTTTTTTTTTTTTTTTTTTTTTAAGATAGCTTCACTCTTGTTGCTCAGGCTGGAGTGCAGTGGGGCGATCTAAGCTCACTGCAGCCTCTTCCTGCTGGGTTCAAGCAATTCTCCTGCCTCAGTCTCCCGAGTAGCTGGGACTACAGGCACCTGCCACCATGCCCAGCTAATTTTTGTATTTTTAGTAGAGATGAGGTTTCATCATGCTGGCCAGGCTGGTCTCGACGCCATAGCTAGGCAAAGTCATCTGGGTACTTCCTTATGTCTTCTAGTGCAGCCATGCCCAAGCATTTCCATATTGAAATTTTGTATCCTATTTATTTTATTTTATTATAAATTAACTTTCATTTATTTCTTCTTTGTATTATGGAGGTTTGTTTTTTGAATTAAGTGCATAGGTGGGTTATTTTCTACATTAATTTTTTTTTTTTTTGAGACAGAATCTTGCTCTTTTGCCCACGATGGAGTGCAGTAGTGCAATCTCAGCTCACCGCAACGTCCAACTCCCGGGTTCAAGTGATTTTCCTGCCTCAGCCTTCTGAGTCGCTAGGATTACAGGCACGTGCCACACCCAGCTAATTTTTGTATTTCTAGTAGCGATGGGGTTTCACCATGTTGGTCATGCTGGTTTCAAACTCCTGACCTTGTGATCTGCTCGCCTAGGCCTCCCAAAGTACTGGGCTTATAGGTGTGAGCCACCGTGCCTGGCCAACAATTTCTTTTTTTTTTTTTTTTAATCTTCAACTTTTGTTTTAAGTTCAGGGGTACAGATGCAGGATGTGCGGTTTGTTTCACAGGTAAACGTGTGCCATGGTGGTCCACTGCACACATCATCCCATCACCTGAGTATTAAGCCCAGCATCCATTAGCTGTTCTTCCTGATGCTCTCCATCCCCCACAGGCTCCCCTCTCCCATTAATTTTATTTTAGGAGAACAGAGAGAGTATTACAAAATGTTTGGTTAAAAAGAAGGTAATAGGGGCGATCCAGTTGAAAATGACTGAGCAGACAAGGATATGGCCCCAGCCACCATCCCCTTCTCATTTGGTGTGGCTTTGGATCAGATCTTAAACTCTTTAGGAAACAGCTACTTTTACACACTAATTAGCATTCAGTGTGTATTTGGTTTAGAGAAAGGCCAGCAAAAAATCATCCAGAAGCCAAGCACGGTGGCTCATGCCTGTAATCCCAGCCCTTCGGAAAGTCGAGGTGGGAGAATTGTGTGAGCCCAGGAGTCCGAGACCAGCCTGGGCAGCATGGTGAAACCCCTCTCTACAAAATAAACACAAAAACTACCCAGGCATGGTGGTGCACTCCTGTAGTCCTAGCTACTTAGGAAGCTGAGGTAGGAAGGTTGTTTGTGCCCAGGAGGTTGCATTGAGCCTGAGATTGTGCCGCTATACTCCAGCCCGGTGACAGAGGGAGACCTTGTCTCAAAAAAAAAAAAAAAAAAAAGTGGATCACCTGAGGTCAGAATTCGAGACAAGCCTGCCCAACATGGTAAAACTCCGTCTCTACTAAAAATGCAAAAAATTAGCCGGGCATGGTGGTGGGCGCCTGTAATCCCACCTAGTGGAGAGGCTAAGACAGGAGAATTGCTTGACCTGGGAGGCGGAGGTTGAAGTGAGCTGAGATCGCGCCACTGCATTCCAGCCTGAATGACAAGAGCAAAACTCCATCTCAAAGAAAAAAAAAAAAAAAGCAAAACAGCAAAGCAATTACCTAGAGCAGGCAAAGGGTAGCTCCTTTGTCCCACATCCCTTGTGGGCTGAAGCAACCTCCACTTCCTGGGTCATAAGTAGCAGGGAGCACCCAGCCACAGAAACTGCCCCATAATTATTCATTGTGTCAGAGGTGTTTGAACCACAGTGACTCCATCTTGAATAGGGGATAGGGGCTGGGTAAAACGAGGCTGAGACCTACTGGGCTGCATTCCCAGGAGGTTAGGCGTTCTTAGTCACAGAATGAGATAGGAGGTCAGCACAAGATCCAGGTCACAAAGACCTTGCTGATAGAACAGGCTGCGGTAAAGAAGCTGGCCAAATCCCACTGAGACCAAGATGGCGACAAGAGTGACCACTGGTCGTCCTCTCTGCTCATTATGAACTAATCATAATGCTTTGGCATGTTAAAAGACACTCCCAGGGCCGGGCGCGGTGGCTCAAGCCTGTAATCCCAGCACTTTGGGAGGCCGAGGCGGGTGGATCACAAGGTCAAGAGATCGAGACCATCTTGGTCAACATGGTGAAACCCCGTCTCTACTAAAAACTACAAAAAATTAGCTGGGCATGGTGGCGCGTGCCTGTAGTCCCAGCTACTCAGGAGGCTGAGGCAGGAGAATTGCCTGAACCCAGGAGGCGGAGGTTGCGGTGAGCCGAGGTTGCGCCATTGCACTCCAGCCTGGGTAACATGAGTGAAACTCCGTCTCAAAAAAAAAAAAAAAAAGACACTCCCAGCAGCGGCATGACAGTTTACAAATGCCATGGCAACATCAGGAGGTTACCCTATATGGCCGAAAATAGGGAGGAATCCTTAATTCTGAGACTTGCCCACCCCTTTCCCAGAAAACTCATGAATAATCCACCCCTGGTTTAGCAGATAATCAAGAAATAACTACAAGTATCCTTAGTCCAGCAGCCCAAGCTGCTGATCTGCCTATGGAGTAGCCATTCTTTATTCTTTTACTTTCTTTTTCTTTTCTTTTTTTTTTTTTTTGAGACAGAGTCTTCCTCTGTCACCCAGGCTGGAGTACAGTGGTGCAATCTCGGCTCACTGCAACCTCTGCCTTCCGGGTTCAGGCAATTCTCCTGCCTCAGCCTCCAGAGTAGCTGGAACTACAGGCATGTGCCACCAAGCCTGGCTAATTTTTTATATTTTTATTTTTATTATTTTATTTTATTTTTATTTATTTTTGTTGTTGTTATTGTTTTTTATATAAAGACAGGATTTCACTATGTTGGCCAGGCTGGTCTTGAACTCCTGACCTCAAGTGATCTGCCCGCCTCGGCTTCCCAAAGTGCTGAGATTACAGGCATGAGCCACCATGCCCGGCCTTTTTTGTATTTTTAGTACAGACGAGATTTCACCGTGTTAGCCAGGATAGTCTCGATCTTCTGACCTCATGATCCACCCGCCTCAGCCTCCCAAAGGGCTGGGATTATAGGTGTGAGCCACCACACCTGGCCTCCTTTACTTTCTTAATAAACTTGCTTTCACTTTATGGATTAGCCTTGAATTTTTTCTTGTGCAAGTTCCGAGAACCCTCTCTTGATGTCTCAATTGGGACCCCTTTCTGGTGTTAAAGCAAACTAAATATGTCCTGAGAAGGACTCTTCTATATTTGAGTTCTTGTGGATGAACTACAACCTAGCTTAATAGGTAGGCAAGAGGCAGGTGTGGTCACTCATGCCTGTAATCCCAGCATTTTGGGAAGCTGAGGCAGGTGGAATGCCTGAGGTCAGGAGTTCGAGACCAGCCTGGCCAGCATTGTGAAACGTTGTCTCTACTAAAAATACAAAAAATTAGCTGGGCATGGTGGCGGGTGCCTGTAATCCCAGCTACTAGGGAGGCTGATGCAGGAGAATCGCTTGAACGCAGGAGGCAGAGATTGTGGTGAGCTGAGATTGCGCCATTGCACTCCAGCCTGGGCAAAGAGAGTGAAACTCTGTCTCAAAAAAACAACAAAAAATCCTGTAGTCCCAGCACTTTGGGAGGCCAAGGTGGGCAGATCACCTGAGATCGGGGTTTGAGACTAGCCTGACCAAGTTGGAGAAACCCCATCCCTACTGAAAATACAAACAGTCAGGCATGGTGGCACATGCCTGTAATCCCAGCCACT